AACTTGTTTGTTTATATCATTATTTTCGGACATTTTAGTTTGTCTTTGTCTTTGGTTTAGTATTTGTGTTTTTGCCCCGAGAACCTACAGAATTGAAGGTTTGTTTTGTACTTGTTATAATTATTGTTGTTAGGACGACATTTGGTCGACTATTTGTGAATTGCGAATAAACTTGGTGTCTAAATTGGAGTTTGGTTCTATTGTTAATTTGGGTTTGTAAGTGCAAATAGATCGACATACCCTACTTCAATAACGGAAAGGAGAGAAAAATTGGACGTGGTACTAATTTTCCTGAGGTTTCTTCTAGTTATTGCTATTTCTTGAGCTAACTTTCCAGACGTATAATCCCTTGTTGTTGCTGACTCAGTTTCATAATGAGCGAGTCTGATAAATGCTGACGAGAACATAGGTATGTATTTTTACATCAGTTACTTAGATTCAACTACCTTCATTTACACAGGATTCTACCAATCTCCTAAGCATTATCATTTTGTGAAGTTCATTCAATATTCACTCTTGTGCAAATTCATTAAACTCTCTGACCCCATTATATCACACATCGGATTATACCTTGACGCCATATGACCACAAACAATTGCTTACATTTCTATAAATCAAGCCTTGCACTTAAATCAACTAGGCCAAACCCCATCTAAATCTTCAACATCCACAACCATTTTTTTAGTTGCAGCTTATTTTTCATATGTGTATTTTCTAGTAAATGCATTACCCTACTTGTTCTAGCAAGACTGAGTCGATGAAAACTCACATCACAAACACTCGAATTATTATCACACACATCTTCATTGTCATCGAACAATTCTTAAGCAGCTTCCGAAAACTCACTTTTCAACTGAGTACTCTCCTTTGACTGTCTAATCCATGTTTTCATGGTATGACCCCGTTGTAGGCAAGCTTTCAACAGGTCAATTTCAAGTGATTACTAAGTTGTTTAGATAAACTCATCCGAAAGTCGAACCGTATCCGAGATGTACGAAATCCACCAAATAAATTGAAGAACTTCTATTATTTGCTTTTAGAATTTGTTCTGACCAGTTACCAAAACATGAACAATAAATCCACTCATATCATAAGACCTCAATAACAAAAAAATGAATTTCTTTCTGTGTAGTAAAGCATTGTAACCAGCCATCTAGGGCCAGTAATAAACTGCCATTCCAGACTGCTTCCTCAGGGTAAGATCTCCAGCTATCAACCATGAATTACTGAGAAAATAGTTTAAGCAGCAGCCTGAGTGTAATTACGTGTTTCCCAATTTCAATAAACAAGTGTCAGTACTGCCTAAACTACAAAAGAACACAACGCTCTCCATCTATTCATCCGTAACGATTTTAAGAGACGTGATGAAAATTTCATGATGTTTTCAAACTCCTCATATATGTTTTCCACATTATTAGTAAACCGATGTCACATATGTGGTCTGTTACATTGTTGCATGATTAAAAGCTTCTGTATGGGAACATTAGGTCTTCTGGTTGTTCGTAGACTGAAACATCCTCTTCGTTCAGCAAGAGTACACTTGTGTTTAACATATGACTAACTTTTGCTTCTTAACTATCATTTTGTTTTTATCAAATTTTTCATTTTTGAATGTTACGGAGCTTGCTGTTTGATGCATAATGACCGTGAGGCATTATCGAAGTGGTTTGAGTTGTCCATGATTTTGGCATTCAAGTCAAAATATCATCGCGTCTATGTCTGCATGATTATTGACAAGGTATAATAAAGTGACAATTGTCTTGTGATCGGATCACCACATTTACAGTTTCAGATCGTTGGACAGATTGGATCTCATGATCGACAATTACCACAAGCGGTGAATAATCAATCATTTTGCCAAAAATATAAGTTTATTTCAACAAAAGTGTTTAACTACACTATCCGATTCTTGATATCTTAGAATGATTACTCGATATGGCGTTTTACGTAGTTGTGGCGACTCCGTCCATAGACAAAAACGGAATGGAACTTTAAGTAACGGAGACTGTAATTGTTGCTGTCGAAACTTGCTGGTTAAATAAATATTACTGAGATTAGCTTGTGCTTAGCAAACAACTCAAAACTGAAACAATATTCGACCAAGCACACTGAATCAAGTGTATCCTATATGGTTCGCATATCGACCGATGATTATCATTACTTTGTTTTCACTAGTTTCTCGAGCGATTCTCATTGACCAATCATCATTTGACCATCATCTTACTATTACCAAAATATATATACTTGAAGATCTGACCACAGACTACCTACAATGATTCTCTGTTCTTCAGTCAAACAGTTTGAATCTCTCAAATACTTCACTACATCACAAGACATATCAAGACAAAAGTTAATAATAGTGATATGTTTGACAGTTTCAAACCAGACTATCATGACAAAAAGTGTTTTATAACAAAAGTAAAGTTGACTAATCTAATTTTATTTATATTAAATGTGGCATTGCGTCGAAACAATAAATGGAAATATAATAAATCAAATATACAGAAGAAAAGCACGACGATCGTGAAAGTTTATCACGCATTTAGACAGCATCAGTATGAATGACATCTGAATAAGAAGAAACAATGATACATCATCAGTGATCAATGTTGCATAATCGATTGAACAAACTTCATGGATTGAATAAATTGTAGGATGAGTTCCGGATACATAACAGTAGAGTAAACAGTATATCATCAGTCAGGCAGTCAGTCAAAAAATTTTCAATAGGATGTCAATAAGAATGAAAAACCCTATTTAAGATAATCATGAAAGAAATGGGAAATTTCGTGAAGTGAAACCAGTGAAATATTACGACGTGCATTCGAGAAAAACGTAAAGCGCATTCAAAAAATGTGACATTAGACACAAGCATTAGTCGTATGCCTCAACAACAGAGTAATAAATTGACATTCATCCAAATGAAGACGTGAAATAGAGAAATGAGTCGATGTAATTGATGAAGCGACACTTACATTGAATAATGCAATATCGATTCAAAAATACTGCCTGAACATCCATGTGCGACTGTGCTCACAGGGATAACATCAAGTTATTGAATAAATTAAGAAGTGAGATTGATGTCATGAATGTAAGACGGTCATGAAAACACATCGGCCAGTCTAAGGGTTCAGAAGATATAAAATTGACATTCCTCTAACGCAAATACAGAACACAATTGAGATCGAGATGAGTGTAGGATGTTCACGACAACAGGTCAAAAAACCTAGAGACTCAGTGAATGTGAAAATGACATTCGTCGAATTCAAGTACAAAACACAAGTGACATCGAGATGTCTGAGCATGGATCTTGTGAAATGTGGACGACTTCGAGTTTGATAATGGAATATTCGATGTAAACTGTTTGCTATTTGAATGAGTGAAAGCGGTTTGTTATCACGGTAAATCACGAAGTGTTTGATTCATAAAATATCACTGAACTACTGAGCTTACCGTTCTTGTTATTTCCTGACCGACCATTACTCTTTTCTGAAATCAACAATCATATCAACAATCGAATGAAAATGAATGAACTTTGTTCTATGTTTTTACAACTACAACGACATCAATTAAATAGAAGTGAGGTGATTGATATGCTAATTCGAAGCATTTTCCTGTGTGACGCTTTATAGAGGCGTTACTCACATGTGACGGTGATGGATCAATCGAACCAAACCTCGTATCATGGATTTTACTATATGAAAAGTCAGAATAGACAACGAAGTTGACCATAATTCGACAGGCCGCACAACAGCGTTTTCCATAAGACTCTGTACAATATTTGCTCAGAATTGATTATCTTCATTTATATTTTTATTTAAACACAGTAATATTGGTACGAGGATCCACCAAATTGATATGCACCACATAAATCGAGTGGTTTATTTGAGAACTAGGATACTGTCCGGGTGCCCAGAACGAAGCTGCTGATTATCTTAGAGGGGTGACACCCAGAGCCTTTGATGTAAATGTCTAATCCACAACACAGTAGAGCGATTTTAGGGGATGCAGTTTCATAGTTGCCGGTGATCAACAATAGGTTCATATGCATTTTATTTCTTTAGAATCATGGTGTCCATGGTTCTTGATAGAAATAACCTGAGCAGTGGAGTTCAACCGTATGTATTGTGAGATAGTAATTGACTGAAGACAATGGTGGACTGGACAGTGGCACAATTTTGCGGATTAGTTGAAATTAGACACCATTGGAGGTTATACGTTCGAGCACGAGGTCAAAGGTTCTTTATTGGGATTTCACGAGGCGATGTCGTGGATACACACTGCTGACCAGTCCCATACTAGGACAAAACGGTCATCCAATACTTTAAAATTTTCTATGGTGGTCTAGATTCAATCAACTCATGAATTCAACTATTAAATTACTATAATATCCACAATCAATCTGTAGGTTTAAGATCATCAAGAAATATCTAGTTTTTGACTATGTATTCTTTTGTGCTAATCAAATTCTGTCTATCAAACTTCATCTGTTCATTGGTTATAAATAGGGATTTTTGCTTACTACGGTTTATGTTAACTCAAGTTAGAGGTGAGCCAGTCAGAAGTAGTCGAATGAGATCAGTTGATGACAATGGAAAATGACCTGAAGGACAAATACACACTACTGGCTAAGATGTATATAATATAGTATCCGGTAGCCAAATTGACCTTCTCGTCCAAATAGTCATTTTGGTGTTTTGATCGGAGCATGTTGTGTTTCAAATATCAGATCTCAGATATCACTAATCATAACAAAATTATTAAGTAAGTGCTTGGCATGGGGTCTGAAAGTCTTGTGTTATATTCCTGGTTTGGTTTTGGATGAATACTGTCGAGGATGTCAATACTGGGACAAAGCAGCTACTGAGTATTTTGATGGTTCACAATGATTATCTAACTGAATTTAACAATCTCCATCACTTTCCATATGAATAAATTTTGCGGATTAATTACCTACTAATATTTGTATTTGTTTTAATTAATCTGTTTTCTATGAATAGATATTTGTTCCGGATATGCCTTCACCTTTATTAAATTTTGATTTACTCATTGTGAAAAATCTTCCATTACCATTTGTTTGTGTTGGAGTCTATCGACATCATTCTCGTAAAGGTCGAGAAGGTCAACGTTTTCGTTTACATTTAATTGATTTAAATAGTTCTGGACCTAATCCACCACAACTGCCTCCAGTAGTTTCATCTATTCCTCCTCCTCCTCCTCCTGCTCCTATTTCATTATCTTCTGTTACTGCTACTGTTTCTGTCAGTGCAATGACGTCAACTAATATCACACCTATTAGTACTTCTACAACAACAACAACAACAACTTGTGTATCTCCAAATCATTCCAGTTTATTAGTGGATTCATCTGCATCTCCTCACTCTGTAATATCACATTCAGAAAATATTCATGGATTAAATGATTCCGTTGAATTAACAAGTAGTAGTAATAATAATAATAGTAATAGGTTGACTAATAGAACACAAGTAGTTCTTAAATCAGATCAAACGAAAGCTGAATTACAACGAAAGAATACTCTATTTTTACGTGAGTTTACTTTTATTTTTCATCATTCCTAAACTGTCATGATAAAGATAATGATCATAACAGTGCTGTTCAGTTACCAAGTAAAGGTTTTTGGTATTCCGTTTTTTGTCCTACTGGTGGATAGTGCTACCCGGTTACTATTAAACTTATGTAGGTGGAGAGAGGATCGAACCTGTAAACTAGTAGCTGAAAATTAAATTCTTTAATATTTAAACCATGATTACGACGGATGCATGGATGGATGAACCAGTTATTTGTTCCAAACTCACTTGTTCCAATCCATAATATTGGGAATAAGCATTAGTCACCTCTCTACTAATAAAACGTGACAACTATGTTAAGTCAGCGTAGAGCGCTTTGGTAGTAAATGTGTTGTCAGTTATGCCTGTTACACCTCAAGAAAGAGAATAGTCCATCCACCAGGATTGTTCAACCAACTCTGTTCTGAGCTGGGTTGATTGTTGTCGATGCTCCTTAATAATAATAAATATTCGAGCAGTTTGATGAGGAGCAAACTCGTCGTTTGGTTGAGATACAGGCTTCTCGCTCACGCTACAAAGGACGCCTGTTAACAAAATCGAAACGAGTTTTTAATGGAGTTTTGTTCTCTGAGTTGGATGGTTTAGTCGTGGAGCCTTCATCGTTCTTTTGAACGACATCATCAGCACAAACTTCATGCAGAATTGAAGTGTTTGCATTTCTGCACATGTGGTTCTTAGTTTGTCCTTTAGACCTTGCCGTTGATTGATTCTTGTTGACCCTAAACCTGTCATTGTTTACTTACTTCTCCCAATGAGAGATGCACTTGGGCTACAAACCTTCTCCACCACACCAAACGAGTTTCATGAATCTGTGACTAGATTTCATCAGACTAGATCTACTAGGTATGATAAACTTTGCAGATAAGTAACGTGATAGACCACACTCAATCAGTTCACTCCTTGTGTTTACTACATTCATTGATCTACACTGATCTCAATAAACATATATTTGTTTTTCAATCGTACTCAACCTACACTTTAACTCGATTAGCTTGTTAGCGTTTCAAATTCTCACATGAATAATGTATGAGTTAAAGCCTAGTCTCACTAATCTGAACATGATCTGTTTGTCCTGTAATAATTATAAACAAATTCTCATCCCGCCCCCCGTTTAACCTCTTTTTCTTGTTTTTCCCCTCCCCTCAAAATTCTCTTTTCATAAATAGCTGAGGATATTCTACCGGTTGTTGAAACTGTACAATTAGAGCATAATACTATATTAATATGCTTTTTAGGTAAGTATTGTTTAAATCACTAACAGTTCTACTCTGTCGAACTTTGAATAGGTAGAAGTAGTAGTAGTAGTAGTAGTAGTAGTAGTAGTAGTAGTATATGTTCAATGTTTATAATCTTTTGATCTTGATCTTTCATTTATATATTACTGCCACCATTGAAGTAACTACTTCTATGAATCCGGTGTTTATCTTGTTGTGTTAATGAGGTCTGGCAGCTTGGACCGATGGACATATGTGCCTTGTCCTACGTTGTGACTGATTGACTGACTGACTGACTGACTGACTGAATCAATTGTTTTGTGTAGATGTTTTTTTTACCGGAAGCATACATCGTCTGTAGAAGACACAGGGATATTGTGAGCAGTTGCTTGGTTCTTTACTTCTTATAATTTATCATTAGTGTTTTTCAGTACTGAACATTTCTACATTTCGTAGAATGAATAATAAATTAACCCACAGATTATCAATCTTAGTGTAAATCCCAATATTATATTATCAGTCAGTCAGTCAGTCAATCAGTGAGCAGCAAGGTGGAACTTCGAAAGTACGTTTGTACACCAGTTCAAGTTGCCATACCGCATGAACACAGAGGTACAATTGTCGATTTAAATCCCTTAGTGGTAGAGGTGGTTAAAGTATAAGCAGCAATCAGGAATATTAGGACTTGAAGATGTTATTCAAGAAGTATAATCCAGTGAAGTGAATTGGGAAAGAGACAAGAAATGGGGACATGAAGAATTCAGAAGATCGGAATTTGGGAGAACACAAAGAGTGGATACACCTGCACCATTTCAAACGGTAGTTAGTCTATACCTACCAACATCATAAACCATAATTGGTTTTCTTATACTGAACTACAACAAATCTCAGTGGATTTGTTGACAAAGCTGATCATAAACATGTACAGTCAAGAGATATACATCACTATCTTCTTTTTTACTGTTAGTGGGTTACAGTTTTACTTCCGAGTTTATTGATCTTGTAGTGTGTCGTCGCATCGCGTCGCGTCGCGTTTGACTATGATCACCACTACAAGAAGACTACGTGCCAGTTAATTGATAAGATCCCTCGTATGCCAAATATCAGAAGGCAGTTGGTGGCTGTTGTCGAGATGTATTTGTTGGCGATCTTGTGGTATCGAAAGAATACCGAGATCGTGTCAGGTTACAAGTGTGGTTACTGAGCGTAACCGAATTCGTGCAAGATCACAATCAACGGAAGAATGCATGTACTTTGGTACAGTTAAACAAACAAGTACAGTAAAACAATCTTTGGTACAATTGGTTATAATGGTAATTGTTTCCATTACACCCATCGCGTTGTGTTCATAAAAGTAGGTCACTACAAACTGAAGATCCTGATGTCGATTTTATTTGAATCTGTGGTTGTCAAACAGACAAGGAAACAGAATATACAATACGAGTGTTTTGATGTTGACTGATTGAAATATTCCGGACTAGAAGAGAACATCTGTCTTGATGTTTCCATGTTTTCAGTTGTTCTACAGTAGGTGAAGTCAGTCGTGATGAAAACGATCTATGTTATATATTTACTGTGTTATATTGTTGTTGTTGTTGTGTTTGATTTGTCTTTTTGTTTCAATTTCACCATAGATTGTGCTAAAGTTGTCAGTTTAAATGGTCAAATTAAATCCAGTCGTCATCGTGCCACAACTTTAGATTTTAACGGAATCACAGTTGAGTCTATTGGTAAGTAGAAATTGATTAATGTGCTGAGTGTGTTTATTAACTTTATCTATTTATTTATGTATTTGAATATAGAAATGTTGGTAAAAAGGGGCACCGAATACAAATGCCCCACACAAATGAAGAGATTTGTATGTGGGCTGTGTTACTACTCGGGTACTCAGACCGAAACAAGTGGTTTTCGGATGAGGGGGCCACATTCCGAGCCTTTGAAATGTGAAAATAGTAAATTATTGGTATATGCACATGTGTCTTTCTGACATAGTCGTATGTTGAGTGAGACTTTGTCTAGGAGCATTAACAACTCTCTCCTGTAGGACGTCTAATTTATGAGTTACCATTCACTGTTTATCCGTGAGAGATGGCGGTGTTTGAATTCCAACTTCTAATTTACCTAGATATTCTCTGCCTATAATCGATTCATTATAGAGTAAAGTAGACTATCATTGAAATTGTACAACCCTAGATTGCAACCTAATGGTCTAAAGATGATGAAATCACAGCAGGATTTAAAATTCCTTGATGACATGTGTCATATACACTACTGAATGATCCCTTGACAATAATACTACTCCCCAGTAATCAGTAGTAACTAACACTTGTTAAGCATTTGAAAGGAACCTTGATTATGTGAATTTAAAACTTGTACAAATAAATTACTACTGACTGGTGTATGATTTCAAGTTGATTATTATGAACATAAGTCTGTATGTTTACTATTATTATTATTATTTCTACCTTCTATTCTGTCGATGTCGTTTATCCTTTTATTTTTATTTTCATAGTCTGCCTTCGAGATAGTATACTTGTATTTCATCCACATGGTCTATTAGGAAAAAGTTTTACTGGAGAGGTTAGTCTTCCTATCTCAGTATATTGATTTGATCATTGGTATTTATGTATATTTAGTTTTTGTGTACTTATTTCAATTTGTAAGTAGTATAGTTGTATACTTTAGAAACGAATAGAAAAGTTGGATTTTCGATTGAGATCATAAATTGATTAATGTTAGATCACCATTGAAAACTTGGACGCATTGAACGGCCGTTTCGTCGTAGTTTGGGTTTCCTCAACAGTGCGGATCCACGATTCTGCTCGCGGGATTCGAACCCAGGGTCTTCAGTTTGGTGCGCGAATTTTCTTCGCGATGAAATCAATTACTTGAGCTGTACATTCATATTTATAGTCGTATAGTAAGTATATAAGTTTGTAGAAGGATAGGAAAGATTCCATCATAATGTGATTCGAAACTGCAATTGTCAAATGAGATAACGTAATAATCAGGGGTTAATGAAGAATAGACCCGACCGTATCTGCTACCTTGACGTGGTGGTCGGGCTTGCCTATCGTGATGACCCAACCGAACAATATTGGCATCAAACAGTTTTAGAAGCTTTGAGTCAACTCTTCGTTTTTATTGATCCTCTGTATAGTAATTTCTCACCCAAGCGTGTTCGTTCAATCCAGAATATAAATATAAGCCTTCGCTGTATAAATCGTATATTTCTGACTTAAATAGTTTATATACAAGCGGATCAGACTTGCAATGACGCAGGTGCATCCACTCTTTGTGTTCTCTCAAACTTTAATCTTTTGAATTCTTCATGTCCTTTATTTTCTTTCCAAATCTATTCCAGTGGACTATACTCCTTAAATAACATCACCAAACCCTAATGTTCCCTATCACTACTTATACCTCTACCACTACGGGATTTGAATGGATAACTGAATCTCTGTGCTAATGTGGTATGGCAATTCGAACTGATGTACGTACGTACGAAGTTCCACGTTGTTACTGACTGACTGACTGATTGAATGAAGAATAGAAGGATGAAAATGATTTACGAGTGAGAATTGTTCATTTGACGGGTCATAATAACGGTTGAATAATGATCATTATGAAAGATTGTCAAAGAATAATAATAAAATTACAAAACACTAATTTAGAAAGAAATGTATTACAGAAGGGAATGGGGGAGGGTGATTAGTTTCTACGTATCATTTTTGTACACAAAGTTCGTGTGCTTGAATTGGTGTGGTGGATTGCCAACGCCTTAGTAATTGATCAGATAGTCAGTCACTAAGAACGTAGAACTTTGAAAGTACGTACATGTATCAGTTCGAGTTGCCATACCACATTAGAACAGAGATGTAGTTGTTGATTTAAATGCCATAGTGTTAGAGGTAGTAAGAGTATAAGCAGTAATGGGAAAGATTGGGGATTGAAGATGTTACTCAAGGATCATCATCCAGTGAAATGAATTGGGAAAGAGGAAAGAAATGGGGACATGAATAATTAAGAAGATTAGAATTTGGGAGAACACAATGAGTGAATGCACCTGCACCATTGCAAACGATTTTGAGCCATGAGCAATGAGAAGGCTTTTTGAATCGACTTGCTTTCGAACTAGTTTCTTTGATTGTGTAGATTAATTTAAAGGAAGACGTGTTCAGAATTGATTAGATACTCCTTTATTGAATGCGTAATTGTTTTGCATTCTGAAATGCGTTTAGAAAGTGATCGTTTTATTCAAGCAATATAACCTGTAGAGAAATTTGAACCCTTCACTTATACCTGAAGTTTGTGCTGTTGATGATGTCGTTCAGAGTATTGATGAAAATTCCATAATCAAACCATTCAGTTCAAAGAATAAAACTCTATGGAAATCATCCAGTTGAGCTAAAAATCTTCACCACCCCCACCGCCACCCCACCACATATGTTGTTTTTGTGTTTTTCTTGTTTGTTGACATGGTTGGGGGAATTGATTTCTCTGATCAATTATACATATATACATATGTTATTATGTATTATAATTTATATACACAACTATGTGTACATAACTTATTGATCTATTGTCATTGTAATTACAGTTAACTCAAGAAATTAATGATAAAGAAAATATTTATCGATTATTAGGATACAATCGGTTAGTTATTCATTATTATATATATATATCAATATAATTTATTTATTTAACTACATAAAGATTGATACAAAGAGGCACAAAATTGATTTGCTTCATATGAATCATACGATTTATGTAAGAGTTGTGTTACTGTGCAGGTTACCCAAACCGAAGCAGGTTGGTTTTGTGATGGAGGGGAAGGGGAGAGGGGCAACACTCAGAACGTTCAACTTAAAGATGTAATCCACAAGGTTGTGGAGGAATGTTAAGAGATGCAATCCCATCCATGGTAGCTGGTCATGGACAATAGGTTTCTACGCCATTTATTCCCTCAGTCTCTTGGAGCCCATGTGCACCGTTGGTTTGGAGTTAGGATTTTCCAACTCCTTTAGATGGATCTTCCATATCCACTAACCCAGTTGAAGCTCTGAACATTCGTTTTTCATGTTTTCAAGGTTGTGAATAACACCACCAGTAGAATACAGTGAATAGGACGTTTTCGCGACAGTGATTTTATGCGCGTTTGGAACATTCGGAGAGGGAGTGTTGACTTTCCTCACTTTCGGTTATACCCTAGAGCATTTGGTGGTTGGGTTGAATGAGCAAGAATTGATCGACCTAAATTTCATGCTATTTTGTACTTATTCACTACATATGCTTTCAATTTCAACATAACCATTGCCTTATTATAGAATTTGAATTCACGTTAAACAACTTTATAGTTTGCAATGTGTGATTATCATGATTAGCTTTATTCACTATGATATGCTTGGTAGAGTATAGAATTGTCAACATGAAGTATATTTCATCAAGTTTTCATTTGTTACTTACTTGGTTGATCCTGAATGGTTACCAGTTAGAAGTTGGCAATTCAATCAATCGACATCAGTTTCACTATATATTACCTACCAGCCAACCATGATGTCTCTGTTTGTGAACTCTTTTGTAATCTGTATAATGAAAGGTTGTACAGTTTTCGGAAACACATTTGAATAGTTTATGTGATTAACAGACTTAATGATGTGTATTAAAACAAATAAGTAAGCAGATCACTTGTTGAAATATCGAGATAGCAAGAACAGTTAGCTTCGATGTTCTAGTAGGACATCATTGATATTATTGATTTCGTGATCATTTTGAATAAACTAAACATTGAGTAGATTGTTATAAACCATAGAATAATAGTAATGATAATAATATATTTGTAGATATTCCAATAATTAGAGAAATTAAACTTTCTGACGTTTCGTCACTGAGTGTAAGTCACTTCTTCAGAGAATAAATCACTAACAAACTGTTAGCAACAGTTGGGCTAGCTATTCTCCTATACGATCATTGATATTCTCGATCATATGAGATTAAGATCAAAATGTATTGATCAATTTTGATGATTAGATTCGTTGAACTATTCTATAATATTGATATTATTCTATTGTATTTTTATTTATTTCATAGGAATATTATTGTTGAAAGTCGACCAGCTAATAATCCAATGTCTAATTCTAATGTATACATCTTAACTGATAATATGGAGAATATTTAATCTATATATATATACATTGGTATATGTCAATGTAAACCTCTTATTATAAGGGTTATGTAATCAGAGTAAATTGAAGAAAAGGGAACGAATCATTCATATATATATATATATATATATATAGACCTCCCTCTCTCTTTATATATGTACTTTTATCTCTTCTCCTTTTTGTCTATACACATTGATAAACAAACATTCTGTGTGAGTGTGTGTGTGTGTGTGTGTAAGATGGTTACTAGATTTCTTCATATTCTTTCTGGTTTCTTCGATATATTTTGTTTCTTTTTTTCCTTTTTTATAAATCAAGTGCTTTTATCTATCTATCTATCTATCTACCTACTTACCTACACTTTAATGTTGATCATGTCATTGTCTTATTCTGAAATTGTTCAATATTATTTATTACTTAGATAATTCCAATTTTATATAATATACATGAACGCACATAGATACTGTTACGATCTTGATTGGATAAAGCATTTGTTCTTAGCTTTAAAATCTTGCTTCTGTTCTTCATCGATTCCAATAATAATAATAATTAATAATAATAATTCATGTATAAAATAGGTGCTATGGATAACATTTTGAAAATTCTTATCGTCATTTATGCACAGTTCATCTTTGTTTCTTTCTTTCCTTCTGTGTTTCTTTTTTGTCAAATCCGTTTTTAACTACTCATAAGTAGTATAAATTTAAATACAAAACAAAAAGAGACATTTCCTCATAATGACAGATAGTAAACATGATATGTTGTCATATTCTTTCTTATCTATTAATCATTTATACAAGTTATTTGGCTCTTTTAATTCTTTAATCAGATTATATGATTACACAACTGAAGCCATAATACTAATAATATAAGTTAACCAATAATACAGTTGTGATCTTTGTTACCAATTCTCTTTTATAGGGTTAAAATAATTTATGAATATATATACTTATATGCATACAGTTGGTGTTTATGAATTAGTCTGTATATTCTTTCATTAGTTTTGAATGTGCTCCTTTTCCCTATTGATTGTCTATTTTGTCAATATAAGCCTAGATAAAGTTCCTTAAGTATATGGAAGATGTATTCATGTGATAGCCCCCCTTTTTTTGTTTGTTTTTCTTTTCTTTTTCCCTCTCCCTCTCTCTTTTGATAATTCTTTCTTTATTTTTATTTGTCATTTTAAGTATTATTCTCTCTCTCCTTCCCTCTCGTTTAAATTCACTTGGTGTTGTTTTATTTATAACTTCCCATTGTTACTAAGACCTACAATTGATCGGTTTTCTGTTGGCATATGTGCATCCTGTGAGGATTGATTCGATCTAGTCTTACGTCACGGGCTTTCTAAGCAAAGGTCGATAATGGCGTGAACATCAATTCTGTGATGCTGTTACATCCAACTGACGAGTCGCAAACAGGACGAAACACGCTTTGTCCTCGATTCCACTGCTAGTCACTATCCATCTTTGCACATAAAGATTGTGACTTAAGGCAATATCAAGGCGATCCTCACAGGATGCAAATATACCAACTTGACACTGATCAATTACGGTCCTAAAGAGATCAATGAGAAGATTCAAGTAAAACAATATCAAGTGTATTTAAAATACAATAAATTTATTAATGTTGATATGATTCATATGGAATGTTAACTTCAATCTGCATACATATGAAGTGAAAATGTTAAGATCCATGATCCGAATAAATATGGGTCAGATAGGATGAGAGAGAAATATTAGTCCAATTATAAATTCGATCAGATGTTTAATGGAAGAAGACTATATTGTGTGAAAATTTATTTATTTATTATAACACATAGATATTGGTACAAGGAGGTACCAAATACATATGCGCCACACAAATCTCATTTGATATGTATAAGGGCTGTGATACTGCTCGGGTGCCCAAACCGAACCAGGTGGTTTTTCTTAGGGGACCACACCCGGAACCTTCGACCTGAACGTCTGATCCACAAGTCAGTGGAGCATGGTAAGGAGATGCAATCCCATGGAAGCCGGTGACCAACGATTGGTTCATATGCCATTTGTTTCTTCAGGATACTGGCTTGGAATCCGGTTAAAGTGCCGGACATTCGCTTTTCGTCCTCTCATTTTCGTAAACAACATTCATGCCACGAGAAGGTAGTGAGTAGGACTTCCCTGGCAGAGGCTATATAGGCGCGGCCATGTGAGAGCATTTGGAGAGGCAGAGCGGACTCTTCCCACTCTCGGCCGTACCAGGTCATTTGAGGGAGTAGCTGTGAGGACTCAGTATCTGAGTGGATAATGCAATGGCGTTTGAAGCGAGTGATACTGACTTCGAATCCCAGAGTGAACATTCACTCTGAGATGCAGGTGCATCCAATTGACCAGTCCTAAATAGGACGAAACGTGCGTGTGAAAATTTAGTAAGACGTAATAAGGAGAAATGAATAGGAAGTGAATAAGTCATGTATAGCGAATATATTAACAATGATGTATAACGAATAATAATAATAATAGTAATAACAATAATAATACAAAGATTTGGGAATAAAGATAATACAGATAATTACAATTGATTACGAAATGTCGTAAGTACAATAGTCAAATTAGATCATTCAATAAGCTAACATTATTATTAGTTAATTAGCCTTGAGGTTGGTGAGGGGAGGAGGAGGAGGAAGAGGAGTGGTTGAAGATATTTCTTTAGTACACATAGCTCCGGTTTCTTCATCTGAATAGCTACTGCTTCAGACGTTTGAAGGACTTGAAGTCTAACACGTTTTGGCAAAAATATTATTGACGTTATAAATAATTAAAAAAGGGATTGCTTTATACTGGCATTATAATCAGTTTGTACTAAATGAGCCAATATCGAGCTATTCACTTTCTTGATCAAACCTTTGTTTAATCACGCTGAGAAGTGTTTACGAGCATGAAAATGTAAATTCCTAGAACTTCGATGGATATAACTTACTCCACAGGAGCAGTCGAACTGATAAATATAAAATGAGGTGGTCATTCTAGGTAATTCATCTTTTAGTCTCGGTATCACCATTGAGAGCGTAGAAAAAACACTAATCGAAGTTCTCCGGCGTTGAAAGATTTTTGTATTGCCCTGTGTAATCTCTAAGTTAATATTTCGCTAGCTGAATTCCCTTTGAATTGTAGACGCAGGGATTTCTTATGTACCGTTTGTATTTTGCCTATTCTTGTTTTAGTGGCTATATATTCAATTATAAACTTTCTACGGTAACCGTTATCATTAAGAGTATCACGCAAGGTGTTAAGCTCATCTTCAACTATATCCGCGGAACATATAGTACGTATACGGTAAATAAGGGTTTTGATCAAGTTTTGTTTGTACTGTAGAGGTATAAAGCTAAGAAAACGTGTATACTGTCCAGCCCATGTACTTTTTTTTTGTTTAAGTTCCTTTTTAACGATCCATTCGCTCTTTTAATTATGAGAACATCCAAAAAAGCTATTCAACCATCACTCTCTTCTTCAGATGTAAATTGAATAGTTGGATGCACTTCATTAACCCGCTTAAGAACCTCTTACTGTGATGTATGATCTTTGCACAGAGGATGAATGTGTCATCCATATATCTACAGTAAAATGTCACTTACTTACGCCTGTTACTCATCGTGAAGGAGCACAGGCCGCTCACCAGCGTTCTCCAACCAACCCTGTCCTGGGAAATCCTTTCCAGTTCTTATTTATCCTTTTCATATCCGCTTCTATTTCCCAACTTAATGTGTTCTTTGGCCTTCCTCTTTTCCGCTTCCCTTAAGGATTCCAAGTTAGTGCTTGTCTCGTAATGCAGTTTGATGATTTCCTCAATGTATGTCCTATCCGTTTCTATCGTCTTTTCCTAATTTCCTCTTCAGCTTAAAGCTGGTTAGTTCTCTCCCACAAAAGGCTGTTACTGATGATATCCGGCCAATGGATGTTGAGTATCTTGAGTAGACAACTATTTATAAATACTTGTACCTTCTTGATGATGGTTGTTGTAGTTCTCCACGTTTCAGCTCCGTATAGTAGAACTACCTTGACGTTCATATTGAAGATTGTGACTTTGATATTGGTTGGTAGTTGTTTTGAGTTCTATATGATCTTCAATTGAAGGAATACTGCCCTTGCTTTGCCAATCCTCACCTTTAAGTAAAATGTGAATTTTTGAATAATTTTTTTTCAGTGAATCATTTTCTAATTTTGGCTAGAAAATTATCAACTAGTATAGGATCCAATGGTGAATTCATTGTAACATCATCTATCAATTTAGATATTGTGGAGATTGAGATCATGAACCGATTGATGTTAGACCACCATTGAAAACCTGGAAGCACTGGATGGCCGTTTCGTCCTATTGGATGCCGACTCAGTGGTCGAGTAGGTTGACCATTCGCGAACGAGACTGAATGCCTTGGGTTCGAATCCCGCGAGCGGGATCGTGGATGTGCACTGCTGAGAAGTCCCACAGTAGGACAAAACGACAGTCCAGTGCTTCCAGGTTTCCAATGGTGGTCTAACATCATCTGTTTGTCTATATATTTCACTACTGAACTAGAAATTCACATTCATTACATTCACTTTGTTATGTAATCTATTCCACTATTATCATCATTAACTTATAAACTGCCTTGATTAGTTTAATAATTTTGTATTACTGTATATTAGAGAAAAACTTGATAAGGATCTAATAGAAAACAATATTGTTCTCGTTCTCTTATATCTATGTTGTTCTAAATGGGAATTGCACTAATTTGAATCAGGATCAAATTAGATTGTGAATTAGGTATAAGTTGAATAGTGTTCTAGTTCAATGGTCTTTTCTCTCTCTCTCTCTCTCTTGAGCTTGCCAACCAATCACCTGATAGAATCAGTTTTCGTTTTTCTATTCAAGGCAATTCATCACATTTGAAACTGACGAATTCCTAGCCTCAAGATTAAACTAGTAAGCTTAACATGTTAAGGCTTTAATCTACATTGAGACACGTTATTTAGCAATACTTAGTTTATGTGATTCTTTTTATGGATGACTTTTGAATGAATCTTAAATTTCAGAAGGGGTTTTGTGTATATTATAATAATTGTAATGGTTAAATTCATGAATCAATTGAAGCCAAACCACAATGGAAAACCTGTAAGTAGTAGATGGCCGTTTCGTCCTAATATGGGACTCTTTAGCAATGCTCATCCACGATACCGCCTCACAAGATTCGAACCAAGGACCTATGAGTATAACGCGCGATTACTTAACCACTAGACTAATAAATCTGTATCCAACGGTGTTAATGTTTAACTTCAACTAATCCACGAAATTGAGTGATACATCCACCATAGTCATCAGTGAGTTACTATCTCACAACAAACCCGATTGAATGATCTTGAGAAATATTAGCCAATCAGAAAACAGTCTGTATAGAGTAAAAATATGTTCTACAGAACCAAAGAATCAGAGTGAATACGCTTCTTTTACATGGTTTAAAAGGCTAGAAAGAGGTTTAGCAGTTTTGAAACAATAAGGCATACGATAGATAAACTCAACCATAAGGTTCCATAGTAGTCGACCTCTGGAGTCATGATAAGCTCCCAAAAACTTTCAGTCTCGACCACAAAGCTTCAATATTGTTTGTGTCGATTACGGTGGTTGGGTTCATAAAATGCTGCTTGTGGACGGCGACACAATGCATATAACTAAGTCTATGTATATGTTATAATACTGAGCAGCTAATATTCTCGTATAATTGGTATTCTCCTTGTAACCTGTTGGTTTCTAACCTATTGGAACAGTCCTTTTTTAGGAAGACCTATCGTATATTTCAAGGAACTGTGAAATATATTTATGGAAGCGCTACTTACCCAGTCTTCTTTAACACTACGTCCCCTATTGAATTTTCGTTTTCTAACAACTGTTTCGTTTATTTCAACAATTCTCCCGACTCCCCCGACCGACTCATATAAGCTTGTCATTTTTTACTGTGCATATATCTCTGCAATACTCACCACTAAACAACTGAAGCTTCAGTAACATCTTCAAAGGTCTCAGCCAGTTTTACAGGTGATTTAATTATCTAGTTCACAACAATTATCATAATTTGCCTAAGTCTCAATTTGGATCGAGCGAGGAAAGTTCCTATTCTAGCAGATTTCCTTCCAACATATATTACATCGAAAGACAACGATATGATAGTTTGTACAAGTTATTTGATAAACACAATCACAAATAAAAGAACTTCTTAGTAGTTCCAGTTGTTATAGCTGTTCAATTATAACGTCTTCTCTGAATTCCGCTATGAACCGATCGTACGTAAGCATTGGGTACCGAAACAGGCATTAATATCTTTAAATCCCTCAAATGTGTTGTGGACGATAGATCCCCCCAAAACTCACATTTTGTAATTTTATCGATCATGGGAAGAAGACTGAAGACGATCCACAGCCTGATGCATCCAAGTAATGCACAGACACCAGAACGGAAAAAGTTTGAAAAGGAATCCACGTACGAAGTGGGATATCCTGTGTTTGCCCGTGACTACGGATCAACCCATGGTCCATGGACGGAAGCGTGAGTGGTCAGAAGAGTTGGCCGAGTCATGTACGAAGT